GGCCAGAGGTGCAGGGGCCATGAGAGGATTCACCAGAGACAGAGTGGGGAGCAGATCAGTCCGACTGATGAAATACATTGCTGAGGGGAGCAGCGGGCGGGTCAGGAGAGGTCTGCTGCGCCATGTGGATCACCTCTGGGACGGGGATCGAACTCATGTTGAAGTAGCTTTAGCTTCTTATGGAGGAAGTTTTCCACTTTTATTCAAGGTGATTTAGTAGGAAAGCACATAAAATCTAAATTGTCTTTCCAACTGTTCATTTAATAATTTTATTAAACAAAATCATTAATCTTCATTGTTATGAATATTAAACAAGCTTTGTTTTTTCCTTTGTAGACAGAGACGACGACAGATACCCCAATAGGGTCGCAAAATTACATAGGGCTTGTTAATAGCATTGCCCAGAAGAAAAACCTGCCTATAAATTTTGAATATTATGAACTGAAGGACTCTGAGTACAGGTGAAAGTTCTTTTCCATCTGATGCATCTAAGCAACTGAGTGGGCTTATTTACAAATCTAACTTTATAGAAATAAAGAAATGACATTTACAGAAATGTCATTTACAGAAATGTTCTTTTGTACATTTTGCATGAAAGGTTTATGTGACTGACAAATAATTGTCCAATTGGACAAATAATTGTCCAACTATTCTTTGTAATAAAATATTAAAATACTTAATTGGTGAAGATTTAGGGTCCATATGCCATAATTTATCAAATCTAGGTAATCCTTTTTTTCTGGCGTGTATCTGGATTATGCTGCAGGAAACCTGAGAAAGTATGGGGTACTCCCTGCTTAAGGAATGTGGAGTTCTTCCCACCTCTGAGACCACTGGGTTGTTTTTCCATGAATTTATCCTTCAAATTTAAAATCTGTCACTCTCCAGACAAATACCATGCATGAAGGAATGGACTTTTCACCTTGGAATGGGAGGTATCCCTATGATGAAGGGGTCGGCTGGGGCTTCAGAGTTACTGCAGACGCCGTCCTTGAGCTGAGAGGCTGGAAGCGAGGATGAAGAATGGATCGTAACTGAGAAAAACAAAAAGCAAATGAGATTGTCTAACAATCACAACCCGCCAGATAAATGCAGAAAAAAGAGGAAAGACAAAATGGCAAATTGTCCAAACTCTTAGATTCCTGACCTCTAAATTGACTTGGCTGTTTACTTTTACTTTCTATTTTGATGGTTTTTAGGCCAGAGCCAGTGAGAGAACAATTTGGTAGTACTCATTAGAATGAAATAGCCAAAAGTGGACTTTGTGGGTCAGTTAAGAGGCTATTTCATTTCCCCGTTGCTCACCTGTTAGGTTCTTTCGAACTAAGCCCGCTAACATTAAATGCCTGTAAGGGAGAGGTCTGCTTAGGGGTTATCTGAGAAAAATGGGAGCAAGAGTTGACCTTAGGAATGGGGAGATCTCTGCATCCCTCAAGCAGAGGCAGCTCACATTTTAAGTCCCCTGCAGACTAAAGATCTGGTCACTCAGGCTCCTCATTCTCCCGTAGGGTCCAGGGGGAAGATACCCCATGTTTACAGGTTTCCCCCTCTATAGCAAATAATGTTGGAATGACTTGTAACAATACATGTAACTTCATGATAGAAGTTGCCAATAGTTGCCATCTATTGCTTTGATATCATCTATATAGTTTTTGTATAATTGTCCCAGTATCCTTGTCTACTCACAAATGTCCTTATATCTAAAATGGATGGTGTACATTTTGCAGTGGGAGAGTTTACTTATGGTTTCATGTACATCAGCAAGGAACAGAAAATGCTGAATTAAAAAAAAAAACCTATGTTTTCTAGAACACTCTACAAAATACTGTAAACCCATTGTTTTTCCTGTAGAAGACACGTTTTTTTTCTACTGACTTTCTTTCACATTTGATCATCACTAAGAAATCCACCAAATTTCTCTCTCCCTTTTCTGCCTCTATATCTTTTGACATTTGGGGGAATTTTTAAAAATCAAGAGTCAGTGCCTTTGTGTGGGATCTTTCAGTGAAGCAACAAAGAGTAAGATATCACCTGAAAAACAGAATCTGAGACTTCAGCCCGTTCTGGTCATTCTGGCAAGTTGGTCTGCCACTTTATTGAAGATTTAAATTATGCAAAATATGAAATTTAAGTATACTAATTAAATCATATTACAGTAAGGCCTGTGCTATGCATTTTTCTCATAAGTCAGATGAAATGTTTTTGGTATTTGGCTAAATACATTATCATTTCTCTTAGATTTCACTGTAGATGGAAAATTGGACAGAAAGAATACCGTACTGCTTCAGGTTCTACTAAACAGGAAGCAAAACATTTAGCTGCTAAATATGCATATAGGCAGATAATATCAGAAGAAACCCCACTGGTATGTATTGCTTTGGTGTTCAAGAAAAAATGGGTTATAACATTATATATACATTTCACATGTGCGTCAGTAGTAATCAACATGTTCACCCCTAAAAGTCCAAATCTTTCCTTTACTGTAAAGTTGCCCCACTCCCCCTATTTATCCATCCTTCTTGTGACCATTCATTGGTCATATAGACCAAAAGTTGTCACTTGTTTGCTTTATTTAGTTCATCTGTTTGTTTTCTCTATCATACAGTGTTGTTGTTTTTTTTTTCCTATCTGGCTTATTTCATTAAGCATAATTTGCTTTAGATCCATTCATGTTATTGCAAATGGGAAGCTGAATTTCATCATGTTATAGCTGAATAGTATTCTATTGAATATATGCATCACCTGTTTTTTTTTTTTTTTTTAAAGATTCATTTACTTATGCTTACAGAACTGGGGTACAGGCCAGAGATGCAGGGGCAGTGAGAGGATTCACCAGAGACAGAGTCAGGAGCAGAACAGGCAGATTGACAAAGTGCATTGCTGAGGGGAGCAGCAGGCGGGTCAGGAGAGGTCTGCCGCGCCATGTGGGTCAGCTCCCTGGCCAGGGATAAAACTCGTGCTGCAGTGGCTTCAGAGAGCTTCATAATGTGGTGCTGTAACCCATTGTGCCACCAGGGAGAGCCCGCATCACCTATTTTTATCCCTCAGTTGATGGACACTTATGTTGTTTCCAACTATTGGCTATTATAAGTAGATGCTTCAATAAACATGGGGGTGCATTTATCTCTTCAAAATGGTATTCTTGCATTTTCAGGTAAATGCCCAGGAGTGGGATAACAGTAGGCATACCCTTAACACCTCTCCTAACTGCTTTTAGAGTAAGGATTTGAATCCCTTGGATGAATTTCCCTTGGTTGTGATATATGATTTTCTGAATAATTTGCTGGATCCAATTTGACAAAATTTTGCTGAGGATGTTTGCATCCGTGTTAATCAAAGATATTGGACCCTCGTTTCCTTTCTTTGTGCTATCCTTGTCTGGTTTCAGAACATGTTGCCCTTGCATTCAATTTTTATATTTTAGCATTCTCTGTGAAATTGATTTGAGGTTTGTATGTGTTTATTTGATGCCAAGAAAGTCATTTAGCAAAAGGCTTCCTCGATTCTGTATCCATTAATGAGCCATGGACTATGAGACCATGAGGCCCCAAAGGGTTAGTGTTCTGTTGGTGATGCAAGGTATTTTTTAAAACCATCTCAAACATCTGTAAAAAGTGTATTCATCTCGATCCTCTCTCATGGCGCAGTGGGTTGGAGCACAGCACTTTGAAGCTGGCTGTGGCCACTTCAGTACAAGTTTGACAACCTCCATCCCCAACCCGTCCCCGCCAGGTGAAAGTTTGATCCTTTGCCCCAGATGTGATAGTTCCATCCCTGCCCCAGAAGTGACCCACATGGTGTAGCAGACCCCTCCTGTCTCAACCGCTGCTCCCCTCAGCAGTGTACTTCATTGAGCTGCCTGTTCTGCTCCCTGCTCTGTCTCTGGTGAATCCTCTCACCACCCCTGCACCTCTGACCTGTACCCCAGTTCTGTATGCATAAATAATCTTAAAAAAATGTATTCATCTTATAATTGTGTATGGGTTTGAATTTGGCAAACAAATGTGGGAGTTGTTAGACAGAGCCACTATAGAGCCACTATAGAGCCACTATAGAGAACTAAGCTGTGCTGACCACTCCTACGGAAAACCTAAATTATTAATAATTAAATTGAGGTAACTTTGTTTACAGCACCATAGTTGATTCAGAGTTTTTCCTTTCAGAAAACTGACCCAGCCTTTCCTGGTTCTCCCTCTCCTCTGTCCAGTGGCCATGGAAGCAACTCTCTGTAAGTGTGGGCAGGGGTGATATTTAAACTGCTAAGATTGGCTACCATAGCAACCTTTTAATGAAGATGTTTAATGCTTATGGAAAATTAAGAGAAATTAATGATCAATAAATATAGAATTCATAAGTTAATAGTTGTCCCTTTTCTTCTAGTTCTTCTGAGACATCAGTTCAAGGTGATTCCCCCGGAAGTACGTCAGAACGAAATGACAGTGACAGTTTGAACAGCTCTTTCTCATCTGCTTCGGTACAGTATTCATTTCAAAGCATCCTCCTTCTTAGGCTCCTTTGTGTTTCTTCATTTAAAATGGCTCTGGTACCCAATAAATGGTTTTCTGTTTTTTAAATCTCATATTTCCTTACTACATAATAATATTAGGCAACTTTTTGACTCTTCTTTCCTCACATACAAAATTCTTCCACTGTTACCACTTTTCTTCTCCTCACTTTCACATTATCATATATTTCTTTATTTTTTTAATAAAGTAAAAATAGTAAAGTAGCTTTGGTTTGCCACTCTGTATATGCTTTAGAGGGGTTAGGAATGCCCCTTCGGTGTATGTGCTCACACTGCTCCCATCATCAAGACACCCAAAATCCTCCACATAGTCTTTTTTGCTCCCTCCACACTTCCGTCTCCTTCTTCCTTCCTTCCCCCTCTCTTCTAGCCAGATTTCTAATGTTTGTTCTAGCCAAGTTTTACCTGACCCTCTGTTTAGTTTCTCTGTATTCCAATATAAGTGGTACCATGGGGTATTTGTCTTCACTTAGCATAATAATCCCTATCCATTTCATGCATGCTGTAAATTGCAAGCATTTACCTATTTTTTAATAGCTGAATAGTATTTCATTATGTGTGATTGTGTGTGTGTGTGTGTGTGTGTATCTTCCTAATCTACTAATCTGTCTTCGGGCTCTTAGGTTGTTTTCAAAGCAGGCCATTGTAAATAGTGCTTCAATAAATATAGGAGTGCATATAGCTTTTCAAAGTAGCGTTTTTGCATCGTTGGGTCTATACCCAAGAGTGAAATTGTTGCATCATATGATGATAGATCTATTTTTAACATTTTGTGAAATCCCCATACTGATTCCCATGGAGGCTGGAGCAATGTACATTCTCACCAACAGTGACAAGAATTTCTTTTCTCCACACCCTCCCAACACTTATTATTTCTGGTCATTTTGATATGGGCCATTCTTACAAGTGTGAGGTGGTTTTGATTTACATTGCCTTGAGATAAGTAGTGCTGAGCAATTTTCATGTGCTTGTTGGCCATCTGTATATCTTTTTTGGAGATACTTAGGTCTTCTGCTCATTGTTTTGATTAGTTCTTTGTTTTCTTCTTGTTGAATTGCATAAGTTCTTTGACAATATTTGATATCAGCACCTTGTGAGATACATGGTATACAAATGTAGTCTCCCATTCACTAGGTGTCATTTTTGTTTTAGTGATAGTTTCTTTCTCTGAGCATAAGTTTTTTAGTTTTATCTAGTCCCAACTGCTGATACTTGCTTTCATTTCTCTTGCTGCTAGAGACAAATCCACAAAGACATACTGAAGCTTACATTGTGAGTGCTTTGCCTATGCTTTATTCTATGTATTTTATGATTTCATGTGTTATACCCAACTCATTAATCTACTTTGAGTTAATTTTTAGGTATGATATGATAGAGTGATTTAGTTTCTTTCTTTCTTTTTTTTTTTTTTTTTTTTAGCTTCTGTTGAGCTTTCTCAACTTTTCTTAAAGACAGTTT